TGTTGCATGTGTGGCATGCTTCATGGCAAGTCATGCATATTCATTGTTTACAGGCACACAGAAACAAGCTCAGTCTCTCAACAATTTTACCTGATTTCTACTTCTCCCCAATTATACTCCTTTTGGCTTATTTGCCATGGCATTGTGTATTGCAGCCCGGCTAAAATTGTTCACATATGTTCACAGTGACCATCCGGGGGTCTTTACATTTCTATTGTTTCGAGAAAATCACTCAGATCATACGAATGCCATTTATATTGTTTGAGCTATTAATCAAACACTAGTTTTTGAGTAAGAAGAAATGGGAAAATGTACTAGTAAAGTTTTGGGTTTGACTCAAAGTCCTTGTTAAGAAAAAACCAAAGGGTATTATTATCATTTCACAATAAAATTTATTATAATTCATGACTGAAAGTATCTTTTTAAAAATAGATTCCCAATGAATCACCATTTGTTTCCAAATCCCTATCTTTCGTAAATAAACTTCAATAGAAAATACCCATCATCTGCCTTGCCACAAAAGTATCTCAAAGATTACACACTTTTATTGGCAATTACCAGATACAAAGACATTTGCATATATATAAATGTGTACACACAACCTGTAACAGCTCTTCTGTTTTCAATTTATATTTATTTATATGCCTGGACAACCCATAAATTCAATGTCGTAGGAGCGCCCATAACAATCATAATCTTCGATATAATTTCCACTTTATGGTTAGCTTGCCGGAGGGCGATAAAAATTTACACATTTATATGTTTTTACGGTTGCTTTTGCAAAAAAAAAATATACGAAAAGTAAACAAATAAACAATGAACCGGGGACAGGGACATCAAAGAGCAATTTCAATGCAAAGCGCCTAAGATACACATGCTAACCATTTTCCCATTTTCCTCGTTCGAATGCAAACGCCTTCGAATGTGTTGACAATTTATGCTCCTTCCTTGTCCACAGGCAAAAACAAAAGGTTGGCTAGAAGCCCCCGAAAAATCCAGGCCGAATAACATGTAATTTGACAAAATCCATAAACCATAAATTGCTGGCCAGGCCAGCACTAAAACTGCCCCAACCCCTGGGCAACCTCCTGCCAGTGGCTTTTCCTGTGAGCAACCGAAGAAAACTGTCTCGTAATCGCTGACAATAAAAAGAGAACCAGAAGCACATAAAATATTATCGATACCAGTGCGAGTAGTTGGCAGCCCTGGCAGCTACATAAAAATCCCATAAGCCCATAAATCGCCATCAGCCAGCAGCCATCACGACCATTAGGTTAAATCAAGCCAAAGACGCGTCCCAAATCAGCATTGAATAAATGTATACATATTTAGTGCCCACTTTTGGGGTATTTATCATGCAATGCTCTTGCTGTCATTGTATTAAATGTCCAATTAGAGGGAGTTTTCGTTTCTGATTCCCAGAATAAAGCTCAGAAAGCCAAATGAGTCGCAGATCGTAAATTGTGGCGGAAGAATGTTTATTAAATATGGCTCTAATCAGTCATGAACTAGTCTTGTTTAGGGGATAATTTCTTGGGGTTTTTAGGAAAATTTAAGTACTTTTTTTAATATATTTTCAAGCTTTAATAATTTTAGAATTAGCTACAGTGGAATCATACATATTTTTTCGGAATTTATTAGATTTTCTTGCTTAAAGAAAATTATATTTTCAAGCTAAAAAATCTACTCCTTTCGTATCCTTGCTTCCTCAGCTTTCTCAAGTGCTCAAAAAGGGAAAAGAAGAATGAAACAGGAAGAAGGCCAATGCTCCACAATTTAATTATACAGTTAATTTGCTTAAATGGTTGACGGCTTCCACAGCGATTCGAGTGTTGAAACAGTTGAAGCAGCGAAAAAAAAGACACTGAAGCATACGGGGACTTCCCGTTTTTGCCCGTGAAAGTTTGTTTGATGTGAAGCCCGAGGAAAGGAAATACCACTGAAGGGGCTAAAGGAAGTGGAGGGCAAACATTTCGGCGCTGGGCTGCATCAAACACATGCAGATGGTAGCTTAAGCGGCTGATGCCTGGCTTTTTCTTCACCGAAACCCCCATCCTGCCGGCCTGCATTGGTTATTAAATTTGCGTGGCGTGTGCCACGAGTCCTTTGTGGGCCGGGCATCCTCCCGGGATAGGCGGATATGCGGCATCCTCAGCTCATAGTTTACGGAGCTAGTTGGCCTAACTAAGTTGTGCGCCAATGCCAAAACTTCGGCCCAAACTCGAATCCCCGGGCTTACCGAAAATGCGATTAGAATCAGGCCAACTTTGGGCACTAAAGGAATATGTGAAATGAATGCCTGGCAATTGAGGATTCAATAAAAAGAAGACAAAGGTGCGAGCAGCTCTAAGAACTGGATATCACATAGCCAACATACAATTGTTTTTTATTGGAACGTAAACACAAGATAATTAACCCACAAATATGAGCAATAAATCGAAGTAATAAATTATAGATTACACTTGTAGATATATGAATTATGATTAGACTCCTCACGATTTATGACAAGCATTTGTTTTACCAGAAAAAAGGGGTCTGTCTGATATGATGTGGAAAGTACCGTAATGGTTCTATTATCTAATCTAGTCCATTTCAAGTTTAAATCCAGATAAGATTAGAAAACAAGGCGCAGTCTTACAGTGGAAACCCAAATAAATGTTCATTTTTGTTAAACCAATATTTATGAGTACTTTCACACTCATAAAAATATAGTTTTATATATAAGACACCATAAATATAATTTATAAATTTAATTTTATTATTTTATTTTAATTTAAGGACACTTTTTTTCATAAAAACCTTTATGAATTCTCCCTACATTTTTTTAAAAACAGTGTTTGACCCTTATCTTGGAGCACACTTATCGCCATTTCCTATTAATCATAGGTCTCAGTTGACGCCTAGAGATTGCAGAAAACGGTTCGGGAATTTTTCGTGTTTTTCCGTACTAGTTTAAATTTGTATTATATATACTTTTTTATATATGTGCAAACAGTTAAACTTCAAACAACAAGTTCAAAATGGAAAGGAAAATAAAGCACCTCTTAGATCTCGATGACTACTGCCTGCTGGAGATAATGAAATACATCATTGCCGATTGTGAGCTGAGAGAAGAGCCTCCAGACCATCCATCAAAGTATGAGAATATACAAAACTTTGCAAAGGCTTACGAATATATAGAGGGGCTGCTGAAAACATATTTCAAAAGTATTTACTACCGCCGCGAACTGACTCTTGTGACCAAGCTTCGTTACCTGTCAATAGACTTTGCCCAGCTGCAATCGGTAATTGAAAAAAAGAAGGAGGGAGACGCTTACTGGAAACTCTACACCAATGCCATCCTAGACAATAAGGCAATTCAAAAGATTCAACTGAGATATGACCCAGCGTCGGGTTATCCTGATTTTCCAAAACATTTTCAAATGATGAAATGCGCTCTGGCAAATAAAGAGAGGCTGAGCATGGTCAAATTGGCTTTAAATGGTTAGTTTGTTTTCAATTCCAAGTGAATATACTTTAATATACTTTCATTTTATTCAAGGTTATTCCCTGAACGACTTACCTATTTGGGGACATGTAACCGAGCTCTACTTAGACGTAAGTATGAGTGCAGAAGCCTTGGCAAGTGCCTGCCAGTCACACCCAGAACTGTGCAAGCTGGAATTTATGTCGTCCGAAATTCAAGGAAGACTTTCCGAAATCGTGCCACATTGCCGTAATCTGCAGTATCTGAAATTCGTGCCAAAGCCTGGAGTAGATGGAGCTGAATATGCACAGCTGGCAGAGCTACCCAAATTGAGAGAAATCACTATCCACGGAGCCTACAAGAACGGTTCGTTGTTGACCATGTTTAAGGCAATACAAAAATGGCAAAGATCAGCAACATTTTCAATTAATTTTAGCGATGAGTTGCCCTCCTGGAGCAAAGTAACAATTCCCAGAATGAATTCTCTGAAGAAGTTAGAAGCCTCATCCAAGAAATTCCCACCAAGAATAGAGTTAAGCGCGACTTACGATTTTTCGGAAATATCCAAAGACACCAGTCCCTTAGAGCAATCCGTAGCAGAAATAACTTTAATGGCAACTAGCCTCGAAATGGACTTGCAGGGAAGACTTGTTACCTTATGGGAATGGCCAACATCGGATATTGATATCAGCGCATTTGCTTCACTCTTAAAGCTCTTCCATATAAATGGCATGCAGATTCAGGCGAAAGAACCTGGGCAGGTGCACAATCCAGTCTTTTCATCAAAAGCGAAACTATTTGCATCGTTGATATCAGACGAGTTATTCGGTTTGAAATCAATACAAAGTGTTCAGGGACAATTGGATAAGCTTGATACCCTTGAGCTGGTCAAAATAAAATCACTAAAGCTCCTTAAGTGTTCCCTTTCCGACTGGGAGTCGCTTGAACTTTTGAGTGAACTTACCAACCTCACAACCCTGAGTATCGATGTCAAAAAAGAGTTTGAAACTACCTATTCCAAGGCACTTTGCAAGCTGCTAAACACCTGCCAGGTGAGCGGTATTATTACCTGCAAAAGTTGGCGCATTGAATTTTTGAAGAATAAAAGGCTTTCGGGAAAAGTTAACGGAGTTAGAACCCTAACATGTTTTGCCTGGAAAAGCAAATTCCTAAATGAGCTGTTTGAAGTCTTCGCCCACAGAGATTTTATAACGATTGAGGAAGTACGTTTGGAAAGGACCGACTTTAAGCATATAGTTAAAATTACAAAAGTGCAGAGTATAAAAAAATTGGATATTTATCTAAAAGATACAAATGGCATTGAGCAGTTATCCAAAATGAACCAGATCGAGGAGCTGACCATAATGCACAATGCCAAGGGAACCCTGGTCAAACTCTTCGATCAACTGGCTATGAAGGAGTCACCATCGCTTCAAAGTCTGCAATTTAGATCAAACACACTTTCCCCTGAGGAGCTATTTAAGGTTTCCAAGATTAAGTCTCTAAAGAAACTGGAATTAGTTGGTCCTTTTTTCTATACAGATTATGCAGCTCTCAATGAGCTAGCTAACTCAAATATTGAAGAATTGGTTGTTGCCAAACCACAGATTTCTCTACAAAAATTATTGGCCGCCTTTGCTTTAAAGACATCAACTAGACTTCAGCATCTAAAAATTGTGAAGAGAACCCTTGACCTCGAGGAATTTGAGGAACTGTCTAAACTAAAAGGTCTCAGAAGTTTCAATACCTCTGTTTTGAATTCCGAAAATCTGCCTTTTCTAGGGAAATTGGAGAACTTGGAAAGCCTTCATGTTCAAGTTTTAAGCGTAGGTAGCGAATTCCATTTGGCAGCACTAAAAAAATTGGTGATACATTTACCGATTAATTTGGAGAAATGTAAGTGTTTGGCTAAATTTGAAAATTTAGAGTCATTGACCTTGTCCTTACTAAGTTATGACTGGAATCATGATAGTAACCCCTCACAAGCGCTGGCCAATATAAAAAATCTCAAGGAACTTAATATAGAAACCACTGATGGATCGCAGTACAGAGTCTACCAAGCCTTAGCCCATAAGAAAGAACTGAAACTAAGATATCTGTCTGCACCGATTGAGTTTGCTGAAGAGTTAAATAACATAATGAGAATCAAATCTTTAAGAACCTTACATCTTCGATTCACGGCACGTAATGAAATTAATTCAAACCTAGATCAACTAGAGGAACTCAAGGAATTGCACATTCAAATAGCATGTTATGGACTTATGTCGGAGAATCAATTCGATGCAGTGCTATCCATTCTAAAGTCTTGCAGAAATCTTGAAAGCGTTTTCATTAAGTATACATATTTGAAGCATGCTGAGTGTGTAGGGGATATACATAATCTGCTGAAATCCATAAGGGATCCCGGACGTCAAAGACCTTTAAGTCTCACCGTAGAAGAGGCTTTTAAAAATACAGAATACTACAGCCATATTGTCCATGTAAGTATAATATTAATTACAAAACAAATTCTATAAATTATGCACTTGCAGCTCAATTTCATTGATGATGACTACTTGAAGGTTTACTATACAAATGTGTAAAAAAATCGTCCGCAAAGTTGATTTGTTGCGGCACAAACTCCTGCCTCATGCACCTGCATCTACATGTCCTGTCGTATGCTCGTCTCACCTGTCCGGCCAAGAGCACCTGGGAACGCCCGCACAATTCAATTAATGGACATTCAAATGATATAAACCAACTGAGGCACTTTTAGTGCAGTCGAGTGCTCCGATTCATTAGCAAGCGTCCATCCCGATTGGATTGAGGTAATGCCAGGGGAGGCCCTAAGACTGGACACAAGCCACCCCCTCTCGTCCTTGCCAGCCATCAGCCATGGCAACTAAAACACGTGTCGTATGCCCAGTGGCAAACAACAGGTGCAGGAGGAGAAAAAAGCACCGAACACAGCCAACTCCTTGGGAACAGAAGCAAGTACACATTTAAAAAAAAAGGAATATTTATTATATTTGAACTGTTAAAATTATTAGCTTATTGTGTTTTAATTTTATATCCTTGTTAAATTTTAATTAATTAAAAACTTTATTTAGTTACAGAGAAAAAAATGTTGTCTTAACTTCTAATTTCTTAAATCTACTCGATAAATTATGCACTTTACTTTTAGAGGATTTGTAGCAAAGTATATATTCTAAAAAATTATTTCTCTCTGTGCACTAAAACCAACCACTTCAGGGCAACCTTGTGCCATGTATACATGTTGCCCCTGACAACCGAAAACGACAACAGATATTAGTGTTTAGTGTCGGGTTTTAGGGAAAAAGTGAAAGAGTTTTGATGAAAACCGAAAGTTGCCAAACAGCGGCAGCCTCGAAAAATTCAATACAAGATGAGCCAGCGTACAAAATTTATAATAAATACATCGGGTTAGCTAAAGAGTAAAATATGTATTAAATGAAACAAAAAGTAACCAAACTCACTGCTCTTATTCAGTGGAATACTTTGCCGCCCGGCTGCCGGGCTCAGAGTTGGACGAGCAGACGGCCATGATACTGGAGTTTCTTGAGCAGGAGGAGCACACGGTTATAGCGGCGGTGTACAATGAAGCGGAGGGCAGGATACGATTCCACCATCGCATACCCAGCGAGGAGCTAAGCCTGCTCTTCTACAAGGTGCCGCAGGTGGGACGCCGCCCGGCCAAGGGAGGCGACTCCCAGGAGCCTTTACTAGGCATACTGACCCTCGAAGGCGGCATGGTCAAGTCGATTTATAATTCCGTTTCACGGGTCTTCTCGCCCTCCGCCAACACGGCCCGGGTAAGTGTGTGTGTGTAGAGCGTGTGTAGTCCAGTGTAATATTCCACCTGGCTAATTCCCTCACTCGGCTTAACTCTCTCACCTGTCTCTGTATCTGGTTCTGCTGTTTTAATCGCATTTGCGCATAATTCAATCTAGTCTGCAATTTCATTTTCCCAATTATACTCGTACCTTGCCGGGGCATTGGCCACCTCAGTTGTGTCCTGCCTTAAATTCCAAGATCCTTTGACTGCTTTCAGGGCAACGAGTACGGGCCGGAGTTGAGCGGAATTCTGGAGAACCTGCATCAGAATCTGGGCTCCAGTCTGGGATTGCCACAAAGCGGTGGGTTGCTGGTTCAATTTAAGACTATCATTGCTTAAATCTTTATATATTATTTAATTTGAAGGCATTACCAGTCTGCGCGATGAGATCAAGTACTGGAAGCAGAAACTAGGTCAAAAGTCTAGCTCTCGTTTGGACCGAGAGGCCGCACAAGTTTTCATAGGAGTTTTGGAAAATATTGAAAAGCAAATAAGGTAAAAATATATTAAATAAATAAAATACTATATAAAATAAAAATAAATAATATTTATGATATCCTATCCCCACAGCACTATAGACAGTGCCAATCCCAGTGGCACCATTGAGGAGTTCCTCGACCATGCCCACAACAATCTGGACGAACTATGGCGCCTGCCATACAACTATCCGCAGACGCGGATGACTGACCTCTTGGACATCCTGGGAAAGCGCCTGCTGGAGGTCTGTCTCAATCAGCTGCTGGCCGAGGACATCTGGAGTCTGAACTCCAGCCATGTGGGCAACCTGATGAGCCAAAGCATTGACACAGTGGACGCCTGGATCCAGTTATGCGACTCACTGACACGTCTGTTTTGGCCCAATTACGTCAAGCATCCTTGGCTGGGGGATCCATATGTGCCCAAGCGGGGACAACAGTTCAAGGAGCGGCTCGGCGAGATCAGGAGCATCAAGCAGCTGTACAAACAGATAGCCACCTTGCTGGACGATGCCGAGCTGCAGGAGATGTTCCAAGAGCAGGCCCCCTTTACGGGTGAGGTTATTAAAAAACATTATTTTAAATAATACAACAATATAAATTTCAATTCCCTGATAGACTTCAATATTTTCGATACTTCCTCGCTGGGTCAGGCCAAGTGGCACAAGGCTCTGAATCACTTCGAGCAGGTCCTGCAGCCCATCGATGAGCGCATAGCTGCAGCCCTAAAAGCCCAGCTGCACCATCACCTGAGCAACCCCCGGCAGGTGATCTTTATCTTCTCCAAGTACGAGACCCTTATCCAGCGCCCGGCTGTCCTGGAGCTGCTCACCATAGAGCGAGAGCAGTTCTTGCAGTCGCTGCATATACTGCTGCAGGATCTGCGCAAAGCGATGGCCGACTCCAATATGGAACCTGACACCGGCCACCTGTCGGTCATCTGCAACGAGTGCCGCTGGCTGAAGGTGGTCCAGCACCAGATCCAGGAGATCGAGAAGGTCAGCCACTTGATCAGCGGCCGGGAGGGATTCGACAAGATCAACAAGGCGGTGCAGGAGATCAAGGAGGAGACCGAGTCCCTGTTGCGGACCAACTTTGAGATCTGGTCGGGACAGTGCTCCACGGCGGTGAAGAGTGGCGAGCTGAGGTGAGTCCTGGAGTGAAAAAGAAACTACATACAAGGACTTACCTTTTTTTGTAGACTCCGCGACGATCAGGCGGTGGTAAAGTTTGAGAAGGAGGGCCGCCAGCTGATGCGTGTCACCTTCAACCCCAAGCTGGTGACCTTCTGCCAGGATGTGCGCGAATTTGAGAATCTGGGTTATAATGTTCCCCTGGAACTTCGCGCCGCTGCCACCCATGCGGCCAAGTACATGTGCTATGCCCGCCGGCTCCAGCAGATCGCCACGTTCCACAACACCATCGGGGATCGGATGATTCCCTGCCAACGGCCCATAATGCTGAAGAATGCCCTCGAGCTGCAGCGTCTCGTTCAAAGCGAAACGGTGGCCTGGCAGGACGAGTCATCGGTCCAGCGCTACGTAGACATCCTGCAGGCGGCCGTTTCGAAACTATCAACGGATAACACCCTGCTGGTGGGATATCATGAGCAGGCCAAGAGAACGGTAAGTCCTTGATTATTATAGTATATACGTTTTACACTTTAAATTTTGTTGAGTTTAGTTGGAATTGTGTTATTAGAAACCCGTTTTGGAACTTAATTTAACTCTTTTATATTGCTCTACAAAATGTACTTAGTAGTCTTCAAAGACACCCAGGGTATCGGCTCTCTTCAGTGGCATCCATCTTGCGCTGCTTGAAAGCCTCATCCTGCATCCTCTCAATGCCATTGTCCAGGGCAATATAGCTTCTTGAGATTTGGTATATCAGCCAGAATACCATAATCTTTTTTGTAGGAAGCGACGTCTTTTTGTTCACGGAAATGCAAGGTCAAGGACTCCAAATTTTCAAGGTTCAAACAATATTGTATTCCTTTTGGGTATAGACCTAAGAATTCAATATCCAGTTGCACCAAGTGATTAAAGTTCCGCATTTTATTTTCATTTATTTTATTTTGTTTTTATCCTAGTGCGACAAGTGATTAGCTTATATTTATTGCACTAGTCAAGAAAAAATTATTATTTAGTCTAACAATTTGTATTCTTATTATCTAAAGTTATTCGTTATTTATTTATTATTCATTTACTAATTTTACTTTCTTTGATTCACTGAACCGTTCTCCTCTACTTTTGGAACTTAACTAAAAGTGAGTGGCGTCATTTTAAACGGCAATTGGAATTAAAGGTCTGGAGCGATAAAGAAATGCCAAAGATAATCAGTACGAGAACAGTTGAAATTCGCTAGAAGAAATTTCTTGTATCAAGTTTAAATTAAAATTAAATTAACACTGGAGATGTTTCATTTGAAACAGAATAGCAAACTGCAAGGATATCCATGCCAAGATTTATGTTTTGAACAAATTTATTTCCAGGTGATGAAACTCATGTCCACGGACTTGTTCACCCAAAGTCAGATCTGGAAAGATGAGCTGCGTCATCTGCGCGAACTGGTCGCCACCCTGGAGCGTCAGGGTTACACCCATTTGGATGCCTTCAAGCTGCACTGGGATCACCAGCTGTACAAGGTGCTGGAATACCAATACATCCTGGGTCTTTTGGACATGAACAACAAGCTGCCGGACATACATGTAAAGCTTCTCCTTCGCCAGAGGGAGCTCGTCTACAATCCACCGGAGGAGGAGCTACGCGACCAGTACTTCAGCCAGTTGAGACGCTTCATCGAGCGGCCCAGCAACTTCCATGGGCTATCCGAGCATAGCCAGGAGCTATTCAAGTCCATGGTCAGTGTGAATCGGCACCACTTTGGGCCGCTTTACCAGCGGGCAGGCGAGCTGTTCGACAAGCTGGAGGACTTCAAGACCATTTGGCTGCCTTGGATCGCCCTCGGCTGTGTGGATGTGGAACAGCTGTGCGGAATCCACCTGAACGAGGCTGTCGATTGGGATCGCAACTTCCGGGCCTGCAAGCACTTTAGCCAGCAGCTGGCCAAGCTGCAGCAGGCCGAGGAGTCCATCGACTGCATCGTGATTAATGTCCTGCCCCTCAGATCGGACATAGAGTACATTAGCCGGCGCTATTGGGAGGCTCTGGCCAATAGCCTGAGGACCGCCATTCTCACGGACATCAGCTTGATCCAGGAGTTCCTGCAGAGTGCCTTGCAGTTCCTTCAGAATGTGCCCATGGACGAGGGCAGCATCAGCCAGTCGGGGATGAAGTACGAGAAGATCATGAGCGAGCTGCCGCTGGTGGCTAAAACCCTGGAGGCGGTGAGGGAGAAGGACGCCTGCCTGGCGGGCTGGTGCAAGGAACGGGTCACCGCCCTCACGGCCATCCTGCAGCAGTGGGAGCAGTTGCAGCCGCTACTGGAGAACCACGCGGTGATCCTGCAGCGACAGGTGGACATGATCAAAAATCAGGCAGAGACCCAGCTGCAAAATCTGAAGAACGAGGCCGAGAAATTCCTGCTCCGATGGGAGTCAACCATCTCGGAGCTGGAGGCCAACGAGAACGCCACCCTGGAGGTCTTTAAAGAGCGCCGCCTTCACTGGCAGCAGTTGCAGGAGAAGAAGCAGCAGCTGCTGGAGGAGTGCGCCAAGTTCAATATGGAATTCCCTCGCGAGATGCTTGTGCCCTTCACCGAAATCGAAGAGCAACTGGAGCAGCAGTCGAAGCAATGGCAGGTCTACGACAGTTTCCTCACCGAGCTGCAGCCGATCTTGCAGGAGGAATGGGCCATCTACCGGCGACGCCCCTACCTACTCAACGAATTCATAGCCCGGTGGGAGGGCTCCGTGCACGCCTCCATCGATCTGCCCTCGAAGAGGATACGACAGCAGGTGGAGCGCCTTCAGTCGGCGCTGCCCATTCTCCAGCAGCTGCAGTCGGATGCCTTGAGTGAGCGCCACTGGGCGAGAATCTTCCAGCTGCTGGGAAAGGTAAATCCAAAGCCCCTGCATGCGATCTTACTGCAGGACATCCTTCAGGACCTGGATGCCCTGCAGGCGGCTGGCCAGGAGATTGCCAATATAGTGAGGCAGGCCTCCAGCGAGCAGATCGTGCGACAGGCTCTGGTCGAGCTAGATCAGTGGTCCGTTACAGCGCAGCTGAAGCTGATCACACGCACCGATGCCGGCGGCCAGAGTGTATCCCTGATCAAGGACTACCAGGAGGTGCTCAACAAGATCGGGGACAATCAGTCCCTACTGCAGTCCGCCAAGAACTCGGCGGCTTTTGACAGCTTCACGGATCAAGCGGAGCTCTGGGAGAGTCGCCTTAACACGCTGGATGCCCTGCTCAGCAGCCTGAATCACTCCCAGAGGCGGTGGGTCCTGTTCATCTATAGCCTCACCTCTTTTGTTTATTACTTAAAATATATTTCTAAAGCTGGGTCTACCTGGAACCCGTCTTTGGCTCTGGGACCCTGCAGCAGGAGCAGGCTCTGTTCAAGCGCATCGACAAAGACTTTCGCTTTGTAATGCGCGAAATCGAGCTGGATCCGCGGGTCACTTCGCTGACCAAGATAAACAACATTAGCACCATAGTCAGCTCTCTGGAGACCCAGCTGGCAAGGTGCCAGCAGAACCTGATGAGCTACATAACCGTGAGTGGCAGCCACCCATCCAACTCCCTTAGAAAATAATCCCTTTTCGCAGGACAAGCGCAACTCCTTTCCCCGCTTCTACTTCCTGGGCGACGATGATCTGCTGGAGCTGCTCGGACAGGCCAGCAAGGATGCGGATGTCATACAGCGGCACATCCGTAAGCTCTTTCCCGGCTGCCACAGCCTCAGCATCCGCCCTAATCCCCGGACATCCCCGGATATCAATCAGTACAGCATCACCGCCGTGCACAGTGCCGAGGGCGATGAGCTTAAGCTAAGCCAGCCCGTCGAGATGAGGGGCGACATTGAGGTGGGAACACTTTAAGAAAATGTTGTTTGAGATTTTTAAAATTATTTTTTTATTTATTAAATATTAATTTTATGTTTTTTTTCCACAGCTCTGGCTAAATCAGCTCGTGACTGTGGTCCAGGACACCCTGCGAGATCAGATCTACGAGTGCTACTCCAGCACCACTGGCGCCAGTGATAACCTGACTGAAAAGATCCTCCAGAGCCATGCCAGCCAAGTGCTGGCCACTTCCAGGGCCCTGCACTTCACCCGCCAGGCGGAACAGGCCATTGGTGGCATGTCCTTGGGAAAACTGCAGCAACAACTGAAAAATGAAATCTCACACTTGGCCGCCTTGAAGCAGAGATCCCCCAACGGGACCCTGATCAGCCTCAAGTTGAGGGCCCTGCTCCTGGACCTTGTACACTACTCCAGTGTGGTGGAGCAGCTCCAGAAGCACAATGTGGTCCACACCAGCGACTGGCACTGGCTGTGTCAACTGAGATACTACCTGGGCAAGGCGGGAGCCAACAACAATCGACAAGTGTGTGTCCGCATGGTTTATGCCGAATTTGAATACGCCTACGAGTTCCTCGGGCAGGCCAGCAAGCTGGTACACACGCGCCTCACCCACCGCTGTTATCTCATCCTCACCCAGGCCATGCACATGGGTCTGGGGGGTAATCCCTTCGGGCCCGCCGGCACTGGCAAGACGGAGTGCGTCAAGGCTCTGGGGGCCATGCTGGGGCGCTTGGTGTTGGTTTTCAATTGCGACGAGGTGAGTGACGATGCACAGTCCAAAAAAAAGCTAAAGAATTTAAATTTAATTTGGAATTAAATTTAATAAAAATATAGGGGAGGCTCCTAACATAATTATTAACATAACAAGTTTACAATTTAAAGTATATTTAAGATATTTTTTCCTCAAGTGCATGGTAATCCCTAGCTATTCGTCATTATGCCTTGAAATGTTTGCAGAATGTGGACACCGAGTCGATGAGCCTCATCCTCACCGGTCTGGCCCGCTGCGGGGCCTGGGGATGCTTTGACGAGTTCAACCGGCTACAGGAGGCCACCCTCTCGTCCATCTCCATGCTGATCCAGCCCATCCAAAGCGCCCTGAAGGAGCGGGCCAGCAGCGTACAGATTGGCGAGCGACAGGTGAGCAGAATGAGTTATGCAATGGATTCAAAATGAAATTGCAGCGGCAAGGAATAATGGTTTATGGTAGCTTACCAGGTGAAAAATGTATGATTTAGGAGAGATGAAGTCCCTCTCCTGGAATACAGGAAAACCTGTTCAAAAGTTAGCTTTAAATATTATTTATTAACTTTAGTTAAATTTGCTTAAAATCTCAGTTAAAAAATCTAAATAAATTCTTCCCCTTCCCAGGTCCAACTTAACCAGCACTGCGGCATCTTTGTGACCCTAAATCCGGCTGGAGCCGAGTACGGAGGCCGCCAGAAGCTGCCAGGGAACATCCAGGCTCTTTTCCGACCCATTGTGATGCAACAGCCGGAGCCTGGCGAAATCGCCCGGGTAATGCTGTTTGTCGAGGGCTTCGCTGAGGCCTCCGCCATTGCATCTCGCATCGTGGAGCTCTTCGATTTGTGCGGCAAGATGCTTTCGGCCCAGCGGCACTACGACTGGGGACTCCGGGAACTCAAGACCGTGCTTCTCGTGTGCGGCGAGGCCTTGAGGAGGGGACAATTAGCATCCTCCACCCCCTCCTCCGACGAGGAGATGTCCGTGGTGGTGCGTTGTTTGCGTTCATCCACCATGTCCAAGCTGGCCCCGCAGGATGTGTCACGATTTGAGATGCTGCTACGGAATGTATTCCCCGAGATTGACAGCTCGCCGGCGCCGGAAACCCTTCTACATCAATCGCTGGCCTCGGCCTTTGCCCACCTGGGACTGTGTCGGAGTGAAAGGCAAATGAAAAAGGCTCTCCAGCTGCACGAGCAGCTGCAAAAGCGAATGGGAGTGGTCCTTGTCGGTCCGCCAGGCTGCGGCAAGTCCACAGTTATGGCCCTGCTTAGGCAGGCTCTTAGTGGCTCCCAGCTGAGAGTGCATACCATCAGTCCAAAGTCCATGAGTCGGGTTCAACTGCTGGGCCGTTTGGATGCGGATACGAGGCAGTGGCAGGATGGCGTGCTCACCCACACAGCAGTGGCAGTGAACCAGGAGCCAGCCCAGGTTCATTCGTGGATCGTCTGCGATGGCAGCATCGATCCGGAGTGGATAGAGGCGCTCAACTCGGTTCTGGATGACAACAAGTGAGTAAAGATTGAAACTTGCATAGTCTTAAATTCATTTTTTATCGCTCTCAAGATCATATAGAAACCTTCTATTAGAAAGACATCGTACTTCATGTTTTTAGCAAAACTCGCTTTTGCTTCATATATTTCGCTCGTAATTTTCTTTTGCGCATAAATTCGTAATAATTATTTTTTTGCGGCTGGCCATACTCTCTATGTATATGAATCATATCATATAGGTATACAGTTATCGTTAGTTATATTGTAGATCGTATCATCCTAAACTTGCCAATATCGTATCGTCTATCACTTAGCGACTAAACAAAAATACATACGTACGTACAGACCTAAAAAACAGAGACAAATGCTGGAAACTAATGACGGGGAAGCCCATTAATCAATAAACTAACGTAATGCGTAACGCTTTACGGATCGTAATACGTAACGGCATTTTACAAATGGCGTCTACTTAACATACACAGAAATAAACATGAGTGGAAGTGTGAGTGTGAATTGGGGGGTAGGGCGAGTTGTGAATGCGAGCGAGTCCTTCGAGTTGTGATTGCCAAGGTTGAGTAGGGATGTATATAAGAAATAACTAAAAACTTTGATTTATCGAAATTTTAAATATCGAAAAATATCGGTTTTCTAAGTTATAAATTTAAAAAAAAAAGAAGGAAATTTCTTCTTCTTCCGATATTAATGATCTGATATATCAAACAGAAAATTGATTTATCCCACATATATCGGAGAGTTAAAACTTGAAACGAATGGAAAACTTATATAGAATGAAGTTTTTAAAGATATTTCTTGACAAATTTGTTGTTAAAAAGCAGAATTCATATTTTGAAACATTGTTTGCAGCTCAGAGTATTCTGCTATTTATGCTTACAATTAGCCAGAAGAACATTTTTTATCACAAGGTCTTAACATTCAATAATTTTAATTATAACTTGAGACTCGTGTTTTGAGAAATAAAAAATATATTTTTATTAAAAAATATTTAAAAATTGATATTTTGCCAAATTGAATTAAAAAAACAAGAGGCTTCAGCAACAAACTAAATCTTAAATGGCTTTCAGCTCATTCATAATAAATTATCCAACAGTTTGCAGCTTATTTTCTGTATTTTCAATGTACAATAGTAAGGAAACTTAAGGAAAACTTAATGAATGGCTTGAAAAATATGTTTTCTTGAGCTCTTCTAAAGAAATTACCAAAAGGTTTGTGCTCGCAGGCTGGCAACTTAATACATTTAGCGGAAAAATCACATAACTTACGAAGATCACAACTCCAGGCTTCAAGCATTCGGATGCGCTTAGCTGGCTAGAGAGAGAGTTGAGCTTAGGACTAAAGGCGAGTGTGAACCTCACTGCGGTGCATGCTGCTGCTGCTGCTGTTGCAGTTGCTGTGGCGTCGCAGCCGGTTGTTGCTGGTGCGTGGCAGGTGGCGGGGGCGGCAGCGGTGGCAGGGCCAGCGAGGGGGGCGGCGGTGGCGGCGGCAAAACCGTGGAACGCATGTGCTGCATGTGCGCCTGCGGAGCCATGTGCTGGAACATGCTGCAATGCTGCTGCTGCTGTTGCTGAAGATGATGTTGCTGCTGCTGCTGCTGCTGTTGCTGTTGCTGCTGCTGATGGGCGCTGAAGTGATGCTGCTGCTGCGACGCACCCTGGGCAGCGGGATTCACATCGGGCGCCGTGTGGAGTATGATCTCCGGCTCGAGATTCAGGGCCATTTCGGCATCCTCCTGCTGCTGGGGATTCCTTAGCGAAGCCAAGGCTGCCGCCTGGGCCGCCGCCATTGCGGAGGCGGACACATCCTGGCCGTACTCCTGCTTGATGCCATTGGGCGGACCCGCGTAGAGGGTGGCGGCACTGAGGTTCTGGTGCAGGATGGGATGGCAGAGCTGCGGCATCAGTGCCACGCCGGCAATGGGCAGGCCGGGGTGACCGAAGCTCCGGGGCGGGTACAGTTGCTGCAGCTTGTTCAGCTGCTGCAGGTGCGTGGCATGGGCGGGCGGCGTCGCCAGTTGGGTGAGCGTGCTGGTGGTCATAGCGCGGTTTCGCTGATGCGCCAGCTGGTGACTCAGCTGCTGCTGCTCCTGGAGATGCGTGGGCGGTGGCTGATGCTGCTGCAGTGGCGCCGATTGCTGCTGCTGCTGCAACTGTTGTTGCTGCTGTTGCTGCTGCTGCGGCGCTGACTGCTGCTGGGGTGGTGGCGGTGGCAGACCCACCTCTGGCTTCACATTCACAGGCACTGGCGGTATCATGTTCGCAAACTCCGGCGGCAGCTGCAGCGGATCCGAGACCAGCAGCCCTTTCTTCCGATCCTTCCGGATCTTGTCGCGCAGCTTCTCCAGCTGTCTGAAGGCCTCGTTGGCCCGCCGCGCCTTCTTCCTGTCCCTATCACGCTCCTGCTCCAGCCGCCTGTACTCCGGGTTCATGCGCTTGATCCGCTTCCTCTCCCGATCCCGCTCCCGCTGGATCATCTTCAGTCTCAGCTCCTCCTCGGGCGTCAACTGCTGGCGGAGACGGAAGAGAAAGAAGAGAGTGGGAGATCATATTAAAGCACTGTGTTCCGAGCCACAGAAACTGTGGGAGTTTGTCGCAAAGGTTCAGAGAGTGTCAACTGTCCCGGGATTTCCTGTTCTGCTAAACCCCAACCCCCCCAATAATCCTCCTAAACTCAAGCCATGTGTGTGCGTGTGTGTCGTGTGTGTGTTGCGGGAGTTCGAGAGTGTGTGCGATATAATTATTAAGAATATATTGGAAAAATGCTACGTTAGCACGTCGTGCCTTCTTGCGGAATCGATCGCGCTCGCGCTCCATTCGCCGGTATTCGGGATTCAAGCGCTTGATCCGCTTCCGCTCCCGATCCCGCTCCCGCATGATGAACTTGTGGCGCGCCTCCTCCTCGGGTGTCATCAGCTGAAATGACACAGAGAGAGTGGTTTTTGGTTTGGGTTGCAAACGGCAGTCGGTTGGGTTCTTGGGTCTTGTTGTCTCGATCTCTCAAGCTTGTTGGGCATTGTTCTAGTGTGTGGTTAAACGTGGGTCTTAGATAGTATATGACCATGTCCTTGCATCTTGTCTTGAAAGTGGGATGGGTCCAGTGGATGGAAAAGCGAGGATTGAAATTAATTATCTTAAGATCTACATGCGAAGAGAGGCTTAAGTTTGAATTCTAAGAGCTCATTTCGTAAAGCAAACATCTTAAAAAAAGTGAAAAGTTTAGTTAAAAAGGACAACTGCTAATGTCTTTTTACAAACATTCCTTTAATTTTTAATTTCTGTTTTGAAAAATCTTATTTGTTTCCAGACTTTTAACCCTACCCTCTGGCTGGCGTATACAATTTGGCAGCAATGTTAACTTTATTTTCGAAACTGATGATGTGAGACATGCCTCTCCAGCCACGATATCCCGCATGGGGATTGTCAACATGAGGTCGGTAGACTATACTAATATTAAAAATATTAAAAAACATTTAACCTATGATATTTTCAATCAAAGCTATGACTGCTATCCCGCTGAGGACATACTCAAGCATGAATTGTCCAAGGAACCCTATGGAGACTTGTTGCAGAATTATGTCGATAACAACTTTCGATATGCTGTGGATTGGCTGGAAGGTCAGCAGTTGCTAAGGTAAATTTAAAATTATTTAAAATGAATTATCTGTAAATAATATTATTGTACAGCCATCTGCCTGGCATTAATCGCGCCCACCTACTCCGCTCTCTGCTGCTGCAACTGCATAATGCCCAATCTCTGGAGGAATATGGAGCAGCCACGTTAAGGGCTCTCTTTGGTTACCTGCCCAGCGAACGTCAGCGGGAGTTTGCCCAACTGATCCTGAAGCATGCCAATCTTTATATAGCCAATCCCAACTACGCAGAACTCACCTACTATGACAGCCGTAGGAATTCCCTGGAGCAGCATCCAGTGGATGCCATGGAAACACCAGAAAAGGGCTCCCAACTAATAGTCACAGCTTATGTGAGATCCTATCTGGACATACTGGAAAGCCTGCTCAGTGCTCAAGGCAACAGAATCCCACCCTTCATGCTGATAGGTCCCAGTGGAGCCGGGAAAACCCTGCTCCTACAGCGGGCAATCCTAGAAAACTCTGGCTACCAGTTGGTGACCATCAATTGCTCGAATCAACTGACACCCAGCTACATACTGCACACTCTGCGGACGCACTGCGTCACTGTGAGCGGCGTTAAGGGACGGGAGTACCGTCCAAAGCTGGCCAGGCTAGTGCTTTTTATGAAGAACTTGGACCTCTGCCAGCTGGACTCCTGGGGAGCCTGCGAGGTGGTGGAGCTACTCCTGCAACTGGCCCAAAGGGGCGGCTTCTATGCCGAGAATCTGGAATGGATTGGGGTGAGCGGCTTGCAAATATGCGCCTCCATTAGCGGGAATCCGATGAAAATCGCGCCGCGCTACTTTGCCATCAATCAGTTTCTGCGCGTTTCCCGGCCCAGCAGCCAGGATATGCTGGAAATTGTTCAGCGACGATTGGAACCTCTTTTGGGAGAGCACTTTAAAGGAAGGGGAGGAGGTGGAGGTGGGGTCAATTTGCAGAACGTCAGCGAATCACTGATGGAGTGCTTCGAGAAGGTACGTTGGGAGGAGAGGGCCGAGGAGCTGCTAATTGACTTTGCCCCACTTTTAGCTGCAGGCCACCTTTACCGCCACCGGAGCCAGGCAGGCGCACTATCAGTTCAGCCCGAAATGCATCATGAAGCTCCTGGATGGCCTTGCCTTCTATCCCGCCAGCGATTTCAATGAGGTGGGTTTGGGAACACTGAGGGAAAAAGCATAGAAAGTTATATTTCAAATATTATTTTGAAATAAGTTTTGTACTTTGTAAAAGTAAACAAATTAGGAAACTTTTTTAGTTTAATTTTGTAAATATTTTAAATTTGGTATCAGCTTTTTCTCTCAGTTTATAGGTTCAATTTACAAATTTTGAATTTCCTTTCAGGCTCTCTACTGCGAGCTGTTGGGCATGTTCAAGGACAGATTGATTAGCGAGGAGCATGTCCAGCAATTCGAGGCCATACTCAAGCAGACGATGCGCAAATATTATGGCAAGGAGGTAAATACTTCATTACCTTTTAGTTTTTTCAGAAAAATACTAGTTTTTCCCTTTCAGAAGGTATTTTTTGTGCCCAAATCCCCTAAATCGAAGGGTCAGTTGCATTGTTTAAGCCATGATGAGTGGCTGGAGGAGGTTCAAAGACAAGTTACCATATGCAGTGAGTATTAAAAATTAACTTTTAAATTCACAGAATAAATAAGAATATTTAAAAACTATAAATACATAAAAAACTAAACTATTATTAAAGTAAATTTAATAACTGAAGCCCCATTTAGGTTCCTAAAAATATTAAAGCTCCTAAAACTATATTTTTTGAGAAGAAAACTATATAGAAACCTCCTCATAAAAAAATTAAAGCTTCCCAAAACAATATTTTCCCAGAAAACCCATTAGAGGTATCTTATATAAATAAACCCAATAGTAAATTATAAAACCCTGATTTTTTCAAGTTTCTCTTCCCAAGAATGCCTCTGTTAAAACCCCTCTAAAGATACATCCAAAAGATACAAATTCTGCTCACGCTTCAAAGTTAAAGTTGCAGTTTCAAGACAAGAGACATGGACATGGTTTTTTGGGTTATTCATGGGGTAATCGGGGATAACTACACTGGGCCTGGGCGTCTGCTTGCGAAACCGATCCCGCTCCCTTTCCATTTGCCGGTATTCGGGATTCAAGCGCTTGATCCGCTTCCGTTCGCGATCCCGCTCCCGCATGATGAACTTCTGGCGCGCCTCCTCCTCGGGTGTCATCCACTGAAAGTACACAGAGAAACGAGACGAAAGTATCTACTATAAGAGAGATCTACTTGAAAAGGAAAACAAAAAAATATATATAAATATATCGGAATTTAATGGGGTTTTCTCCCTCTTCCCCCAACAGATACCGAAAGCTACAGCATCACGGCTCCCATTACCGAAGAGCTCTTACATCACACAGCCAAAATGGTTCGTGTCCTGTCCCGCCCCGATGCCCACCTGCTGATCTTGAGCCAATCTGGTGGACGACACCTGGATGCCATTTACACGGCGGCCACCTTGCAGGAGGCCAAGGTGCTGACCTTGCAGGGAGGCTCCTCCTACGATCTCTCAGAGTTCTACAACGATCTCAAGCTGGCCATGCAGACGGCTGCCCTGGAGCAGCAGAAGAGCTACCTGCTCATCGAGCACTGCTGGCTGAGCTATGTGCCGGATATCCTGAAGCCCATCGAGGCGCTGCTCGAAGGCAGCGAAATCCTGGAACTGTTTGGTGAGGATCTGGAGGCGGTGGCCAGCACGCTGAAGCAGGCGGCACAGCTGGAGGGTTACCAGGAATCGCTGGGAACCTACTTTATGAAGCGTAAGTAAAGGAAAGGAAGGAAGCTCAGGTAATAATAAAAGTAATGGAATATTCTTAGGTGGCCGCGAGAACCTCCACATCATCCTGGTGCTAGATCCCAGTAGTCCTAGTGTGCAGGACTACTTCAACACCTTTCCCGCCCTTCATCGGCAGATGGACCTGCTCTACGTGAGATCCGAGTCCAGGGAAACCCTGGCCATGCTGCCTAAGCAGTTCATCGAACTCCTTAACGAATCTTCAGCCGGAGGAGGCAATGGTCGTGGCAAGGTGCCCGTGTGCAGTCACTTTGCCGACATGTCCGACGAACTGCCTCAGGATCAGCCCTCTCAGAGGTTCCTCCAGCTCATCCGCAGCTACTTTCACATGTACAGCAATGCGGCCAATGAGATTGACCAGAGATTGGGTAAGCTGCAAATGGGCGTGGATAAACTAGCCTCGGCCCATGCCCTGGTGGATACCCTAAAGTCCAATGCAGCTGCCCAGGAGCAGGCCCTCGGGGAGAAGCGTCAATTGGCCAACGATGCCCTGGAGATGATATCGGCCACCATGAGGAATGCCAACGATCAAAAGTCAAGCATGTTGGAGCTGAAGCAAGAGACCCAAAAGAGCAGCGAACAGCTGAAGCTCCGCCAGAGGGAAATCCAACAGGAACTGGCCGAAGTGGAGCCGATCCTGGCCGAGGCCAGCAATGCAGTGGGTCAGATCAAATCCGAGGCCCTCAGCGAAATCAGATCCCTGAGAGCACCGCCCGAGGCAGTGAGGGACATCTTGGAGGGCGTGCTCCGGCTGATGGGCATCAGAGACACTTCGTGGAACAGCATGAAAACCTTCCTGGCCAAGAGGGGAGTCAAGGAGGACATCAGGTCTTTGGATCCCGCTCGAATTAGTCCTGAAAACTGCGAAGCAGTGGAGAGATTGCTCCTGGCCAAGGGCGACTCCTACGACGCCAAGAATGCCAAACGCGCTTCGGCTGCCGCTGCTCCCTTGGCTGCTTGGGTGCAGGCTAGTGTCCGCTACTCCAGGGTCATCCAGAGCATCAAGCCCTTGGAACGGGAGCAGAACGAGCTCCAGAAGAACCTCAATGCAGCCGAGGATGAGATGCAGGAGCTGGCCAGCGGGCTGGACGATGTGGACAAGAGGGTAAAGCAGTTGTCTGCGAAATTGCAGACCTACACCCAGGAGGCAGCGGTGCTCGAGCTGAAGCTCCAGGAGGCCAGCGGCACACTGCAGGCAGCGGAGCTCCTGGTGGGCAAGCTAAGTGCGGAATATGCCACCTGGAGTGATCAGCTGGCGGAGCTCAAGAAGGCCCACAAAACTCTGGATGCCAAGACCTTATTGATAGCCATCGCGGTTAACTACTATGCGGGACTGGGTCTGGAACAGAGGAGGTGTGTGTTTGAAGATCTACATCTAGAAAAAGTTTGATTATTTTATAATATTCCCCACAGTTCCTCCCTGAAACGCCTGGCGGTAGACTTCCGCCTACCGCAGGACTTTAATCTTCGGGAATCTCTGCTCACGGAGCAGCAGCAAATCATCTGGGAGAGCCAGGGCTTAGCGCGAGATGCCCAAATCATAGAGAGCGCTGCCCTGCTCGGGGAGATGCTCTCCCTACCCTATGGGTCTTGTCCCATTCCCCTGCTCCTGGATCCCACACAAACAGCTGCCCAGTGGCTGATGGCTCATCTCAAGGGAAGCGGCAAAGCCTGCGAGATGACCACCCATGGCAACGAAAGGTTGTCCTATCAGCTGGAGCTGGCTGTGCGCTTTGGCAAGACTCTGCTCGTTACCGACTGTGAGCAGCTGCGTCCGCCCATCCTGCAGCTGCTGCAGGGTCACATTTATGTGCGTTTCAACAAGAGGCAACTCGCCATAGGCTCCAAGCTAGTGGATCTCCACGAGGCTTTCCAATTGGTGCTGATCAGCAAATCACATCGCTTGGAGCTGCCCGAGGAGCAGAGAAGTCAAATCAATCTCCTGAGATTCACAGTGACGGCCGCTGGACTGGCCGATCAACTCATGTCCAAGGCCATCGTTCTGAAGAATGCCGAGCTGGAGCAGCAGAGGATAGAGCTTCTTCAAAGGGAGGGAGATCTTCTCAAGCAGCGAATGGACATGCAGGACAAGCTGCTCGAGCAGCTCTCGAAATCAGAGGGCGATATCCTGCGGAACGAGCAACTCCTGGCCAGCTTAAATGAGGTGAAGCAGAGCAGTGCTCAGATTGATGAGGCTCTGAAGCAGAGCGGCAGGATCAAGGACACTCTGCTGGCCCAGTTTGGGTCCTTGAGGGAACTCTGCGGCAGGGCTGCTACATTCTACGCCGGCCTCATTCAGGGCTACGAGCTGTCCGCCCTGGTTTTCATTGAACTCTTTCTTGGAGCTCTATCCAAAAACCAGCGTGAGGAAGCCAAGGTGTACGAATTGCTGGTAAGGAGTGTCTACATGAACCTGGCCAGAGCCACGTCCAGGGACAGCCAGCTGGCCCTGTCCCTGTGGGTTTGCTATAAGGCCTATCCCGACAAGCTGAACCCCAAGGAGTGGGAGTTGTTTGTAAACAACTTTATGGGCAGCTCGGATGGCAGCATGCTCCTGAGTCAGCTGGGAAAACTGCCCGACTGCATGACCAAGGAGGCGCAGCTAAAGCTGGCCATGCTGCTGCAGTTGTTTCCAGATCTGCGAGGCAAGCTCCAGCTGGACAAGGACTACATCTGGCGGGGATTCATTGAGTCCCAAACCGACGATGTCTTGCGTAAGTTGAGAATTTAAATTTAATTAATAAACTTTCTTTTATGAGATTTGTTTTACAGCTTCTCTAAGTTCGAGCTTTCAGCGCGTGCTTATAGCCCAGATCTTCCGGCCGGATTTAATGCTCCAACAACTGCGTCGAGTGAGCAGCGATCTGTTGGGTGTATCTCCCGATGCCTCCACCCAACCAACCCCGGAGCAATTGCTGCAGCAAAGCAGCTGTGATCGCCCCATTCTGATGATCAGCCAGGCGGAGAATGATCCCACCACCGAACTGAGAAAGTGGAGCAATCAAAAGTACAGGGAAATGGCCATTGGCAGGGGTTCCGAGAAGCGAGTTCTTGCCGAGATGCGACAAGCTGCCCTCGATGGTCACTGGTTGTGTGTGAAGAATGTCCACCTGGTGCCCGAGTTCCTCACGCAAATGGAAAGGGAACTGAGTGAGATGCAAAAGTCCCAGGATTTCCGCTTGTGGCTACTTTGCGAGTCCACAGAAGGATTCTCTGATTCGTCTGTTTTCAAGTGCCTCAAAGTGCGCTATGAACAGCCCAACGGACTCAAGCAGATCGTGATGCGTTTGGTCCAGAACTACGCCGCCGAACAGGATCAGAGCGTGAGAAGCCAACCGAAGAGCCTCAAGATGCGCCTGGTGTACTTCATCCTAACGGCGGTCCTGCAGCAAAGACGGCAATTCATACCCCAAGGTTGGTCCAAGTACTACGAATTCGGGGAGGCCGACCTCAAGGCTGCTCTGGGCATCCTCAAGTGGTTGGATCCACACCTCAACTCGGGCAAATGCGATTGGCTGCTTCTGCAGCGACTGAGCGAGGCTCTGGCCTTTGGCGGACGCGTCAGCAATCCGAGGGACTTGGACATACTCAGGAGCTATCTGAATCAATTCTGCTGTGCCGAGGTCTTGAGCAATCGCTGGTCACCGCTCGGGTTGACATCGCTATCTATACCCACAAGTAACCAGCTGCAGGACTACTACGCGGCTTTGGAGAAGCTGCCCGACCAGGATGAGCCCAGCATGTACGGCCTGGCCAGTCAGGCGCAGCAGCAAAAGGAAATCGAGCAGGCCAAGAGAGTGATCAAGGAGCTAAGGGGCCTGCACTATGGCAGAGGAATGGAGGGAGGTGAGGAGGAAACCAAGACAGCCACTCACCACCTCATCACTGATCGTCAGAAGCTGGAGCAGCAAATTAAGCCCTTGCTGAATCTGTGGAGGAAGCTGGCCGGCTCCTGTACCATAGCCCAGACGGTCAAGGAGGCCACCAGGGAGCCTGCGGACTCGCCTTGGGCTTTGTTTGTCCTTGCCGAGTTGAAAGTGGGCGCCGATCTCTACCGCACTGTGCACCAGACGCTCTCCCAGATGCATGCCTGGCTCAAGGACACGCAGGACTCAGTGGACGGCAGCACTCTGAGGGCTCTGGCCGAGCAGCAGGTGAGTTTTAGCAGGGATAGGGAAAGTTTATTTTATTTAAATGAAAATTCTTTAACTTAGATCCCCGCCATTTGGCTGAAACTGTGGACTGGTCCTGGCAGCAGCAGTGCCGTGGACTTCCTGCGAGCCCTCATCGTGCGAGCCCAGGCCGCCGAGCAGCGTTTCCGGGAGCAAGTGACTCTGGATTTTGGAGAGGAAATCAATCTGATCCACGTCTTTAACTGTGAGAACCTGTTGGCCTGCCTGAAGTTGCTGCAGTCTCGCAAGACGGGAGTTTCCTCCGAGCGTCTGGAGCTGAAAACTTGTGGATTAGAGAACTCGGAAGCAGATTCTTCAACGGTACTCCTGAAGCTAGCTCCTCTAAAGGTGAGTTTGGGATTTTATTGGGGTTTATAGACTTGAAAATACTTTAAAAGGATAATGGAATATAAGAGTTTAAGCAGGGTCTATAAGGAATATTTTGTGCAAGCTTAAATATTCGGATATTGTATGTTTATTACCTTGATTGTTCAGTTTCAGTAAGGGATTATAATTCATAACATTATCTCATCAGCTTCAAAGGAATCTGTATAACTCCCTTCTTTAGTTTTTCTTTTTTGAAAACATGCATTTCCCCCCGCCTGGCCCACTGTCGCCCGCCCCCCTAATCCCTCTTCTCCCTGGCTTTTGTGCGTCGCCTCCTCCGTCTCTTTGTGTCTTACCTTCCCCATTTTAGCCATAAAGTGCGTCTCCATCCGGCCCTTGGTGCCTGCTCCCTGCGGCCCGAGTCGGTTATCCTCTTCCGGCTATCCTGTTCCGTTTACCGCATCGAGGGGAGCTGCGAAATTTGTTTCCTTCGGTCCTTTTCAGTTTTTCACGCCGCTTTTTTTTTTGTTTTCATTTGATTGACATTCCGGCAGTAGACAGTGTTGCCAGGTGAATATTTTAGCTTTCCCTTTAAAAATCTAAAAACCCGGAATATTTTCGCTTTCGCGGTTTTTGGGCACACTAGAACGTGAAAGCACTGTTGCGTTGCCAGACTTTTCGTTTATGAGCGACCAAAAGTACCAGATCGTCTGGAGTCGATAAACACACTCTAGCGAAGACTCGAACCTACTCCAACTAGAATCTGATTGGGCGAACTGCTTGCTTAATTTACACTGGGAAAATAAAACGTAATTTTAATAACCAAAAATATATATAATTTTTTTCTTTCAGAGAGTCTTTGAGCAGATTTGTAAAGAGAAAATATTTAAAATATTATTAAAATTAACTTAATTTAGCTTACTCTATTGGTTTTCGGCTACAATCAGAGTAATTATCCTTATGATTAAGTCAACTTCGTGATGTAGCCCTATTGTTCCAGCGCCTGTTCCAGCGAAACTTTTCGGAATCTCAGTCTTAAACGTTAGCCGGTTAGCTGTTTGTGTGGGTTTCCGTGTATATCCTTCAGGAATCTGGTCAATTTCGAAACCCTTATCATAAAATTTGTGGACTACGGTCGGCAATATATGGAAAAAATCGGCTATCATTGGCAAGTCGATTATTTGCCTTCTAATTCTAAAAATATCATAACTTGTCCAAAAAGCCATTAATTTCAATTTGGAAAGCTTTTCTATGCTAGTTTTTTCTAGGTTAACAAATCTGCATACTTAACTAATTTTTTTAGGAAATCAAAATTTTGGGCTATTTTCGAAAATTTTAATGATGTAACCCCTTATCAAAAATCGAAAAAATTGCAAAAAAAAAATTTCTTCCGGGAATAGCCAGAAAGATTCACCTTTTAATGCTGATCAAGAATATATATGGTTTATAGGGTCGGAAATGACTCATTGCGATATTTGCTTTTGATTGAAATTATAATACCCTGCAAAGGATATAAAAATTAAAAATTTTTTATCACGCTCTGATATATTTTTCCATTTTAGATTGATGGCGCCAAGAGTGGAATGGAGAGATCCAACCCCTTTTACGTTGGCTACAAAATTAAAGAGCAGGCTGATGCGGCTTCTTCGGGATCCTCGAAATTTGGCAAAAACGCTTTGTATCCTGCCCAAAGAAGCGAATCAAATCCAAAATTGCCGCTATACTCCCGAAGCAGTAGGGACAAGTTGATTTGTCACCTAAATGTGGATATTTTGGCAGGAACATCGGAGCAGATTCTCTTAGCTGGAACCGCGCTGATCGTCGAAGATTTTTAGATTAAATTAAACTATAATATAATACATTTATAAAAAATGTAACAATAAATTCGAAATAAAATGTCACATTGCAGTTTGTTTTAGCAGTTAAAAATAAATAAATTCAACCCTAACACTATTAAATATTTTACTAATGGACATTTTAGAGGCTTTTAATAAGCAAATACAAATTATCTACCAAATCGGACCGCAAACACGTAAGTCGCTCACAAATTTGAAAATATTCCTCGGCTACAGCTGGTCACGAACTGTTTTTTTTTTATACAGAAATATAAATGTAGGTTGCCTATGAATTTTATCATTTATTTACATAAAATAAGCGACCGCAAGGTTTAATTAACCGCAAAAGTGCCAGGCAAAAATTATTTAAAAAAAACTACATATGTAGAGAAGGAAATGAAAATGGGGAAATGAAAAAATAAAATATGATATGTGAGTTAATGCAAAACGTAAATAAGAAGGAAAAGAAGCGGCCAAGGATAAACACACAAACATGTGGCAATAGATATGAGGACATCGGGTATTGGCATTAAGCGGAGTAATAAGGTAAATATGTGTACAGCTACAAACACAGATAGTCCGGGAAAATAAACATATTTTTCTGTGCGACAACTGTTGAAGAATGTAGCAGTATGGTGAGGGAATCGGATTGGAGTCAAGGAATAACATATTTGAGGGATTATTGGGAAAACTTCGTAGTAAATATTCTATAAGGTGGTTTACAAAAAAAAAGGGTGTTCTTATTAATTAATTAGACATAAGAATGTTCATTTAAATATTTATATATTTTTTTAAAATTTTATACAGATCTAAAACAGTTTGTTAGCTTTAAATATTAAACTAATTTAACTTACTTTCAGTTCCTTTATAAATATCTAAATTATTTCTAGCAATTTTAATATTTTAAAACATGTTAAACAATTTTATAAATTTTATTAATGATAAAATGCCAGCCACTGAGATCTTTTCAAGGGTAAACCCCCTTTATTGAGAGCACTTTGTACACATCGGACATTGACCGGAACCCTGAGTCACAGCCACACTCGGCGCCCTTTCCCTTTCCCTTCCCCCCTCCCCCTCTTGCATCCCTTCTCCCATCTTTGTTTATTTTTTTTCACTCGCTGCTCTTATCAGCAAACGAGAAACGCAGCGTGAGTGCGCCTGTCACTTGGGGCAAACATATGTTTCGTTACAAATTGACGACCGCAACCTCTTATCAGCAACGGCTGCTGCTGATACCAACAACAACAACGACAACCACAACATTAAAGGGGACACACAAGAAGGGAGTGCAGGGGGGGGGCAGGGCAAAGTGAACCGCTGGACAACAGAAGACAACAAACGAAAATTAACGAAAACTAAATTTAAACACGTCTTGCTGCGGTCCACCCAGCGAAGAGATGTGTTTCATTAGCTGCAGCTGCAACGGGCAAAGCCATCTCTTTCACTCGCATTTATCGCTGGCTCTTTCTTGTGCTGTGCACTGGAGAAAAATATGGGTAATAAATAAGATTTTTAAGAGCCAAACCTGTGAGCGTCATAAACTTCTCGTAAAATAATTTTCATTGGTACTTATTAATTCTTATAAATTCTCATTATTAATTTGAAATATTTTCATAACCGAAATCTTTAAATAAATATTAAAATTCTAATAATTCCCAGTGTATATCTGCGGTTAAAGGCTAGTGAGTGAGTGTGCGTGTGTCAGGTGGAGAAAGGGGAAAGCATGTGCTAAGACCTATTAAGGGGTTAAGGGTTGTGTTGTCCACTGCCAACCGCTGACTTTTCGCTCGCAGCGGGCGGTTATACTAAATAAGGTTTACAGCCGGGACCCCGTGCGGATATGTCAGGGCCTAATCCTGCTCTGAAGGCAGGCAAAAGGGAGCTGTGTAGGACGGGAAACCGTTTGATATAATTGTTATTATCAAGAACAGATTTTAAACGGGGTTAATTTCGGTAAACAAAGGCAACGGCCTACTAATATCTGGCCAATCCAATCGCGAAACATTTAACTAGGAAATCAGCTTAAGCTTTGAGAACTTTGATTCTTGAAGTATCCTATATAAAAAATAGTTTCTAAGGTCGCTTAATAGTAGTCGTTTACATATCAAAGAACCGAATAATTATGGGGTTCTTCTAGGAAAGAACCCTTTCGATTTTTCTCTCTCTCCTTTAACCTCTTTTGAACAACTTAAAGTTGCCCTCTGGCCCATGGAAGTTAAATATATATACAACGGGTCGGGAAAATATTAAATCCGGATCCCCTCCAAGTCCCCAGATCCCTGATACCCCTTCGATTCCGTTCGATTTTGCTGCGGTGTGAACGGGCAATGGCAAACAGGCAAATAAACAAACAATCGGGATGGGCGCGGCGGACAATGGACGGCAGGCGGCAGGCGTTCGTCCTTTGGCTTTCGGCCAGGATTTTCCATGAGGTGCGTATGCACATGGGCCGTGGGTGTGTTTGTGTGTGTGTTCAAGTTTCAGGGGGCTGATTGCTCACTGGCTTATATAGGAGAATGGCTTGGTCCGCCGTGGCCCAGGAAACAATTAGCTCTAAATAAAATTTAAAATAAGCAACTGTTTGCGCTTCGCCGTTGCCAGCGGACACGCAAGCGGCTTTAAGCGGCAGTGGGGGGGAAAGGGGGACAACGGGAACTCATATTAGATAGCATGATATCACTTAATTACGGTATTTAAATGAGCAACAAATGATATGCTTTTAGGCTTTCGACGAGACCCATTTGGGCAGAAACCTCAAACGCACACACACACACACGAGAGCCTGAATATCACATGCATATCTCTGCCATTTTCCCGAATTTATTTCTATATTTAGTTTTTGGATTTTTTCTATATATTCTGTGCCAAAAACGTGCGCTGCTAACTATGCAACACTTTGTGGGCGTAATCATCTTTGGACAACTTCATCGCCATGGCATTGCGAGCTGCACATGTGTGCGGGAGTGTGTTTGAATTGTAATTGAAATTTAGTTGGCAAAACTAATTGGAATTGCTGCATTATGCAAGCGTCGATAAAGCCCCGTTGCAGCAGTAGAGCCTCTACATCTGGAACAAACAAAATTCAATCAAAAGGTTAAAAAATAAAGAGCTACAAATGATTTAGATCAAGGATTTAGTAATGGTTTGTCGTACTTTAATCATAAAAAATTGGGTTACATAGATATATCAGTAGAAATTATAAAAAGCTTAAGTAAATATATATTAAGTGTACCAAAAAAGCTCTGAAAATAAATATTAATTGTGATTTTAGTTATAGAGAATGCTTCTTTTTTGTTAAATAAATATTTATCTTGACCTCAAAGATAAAATAAATATTTTTAAAATGCCATGATTTTAATTTGTCTTTCCAAAATTAGAGTTACCTTCCATTTTACCAAAATAAAGACCCCAAAATATTAAAAACAATATAAAATTGCATTCGAGTGCAGAAAAAAGAAACAGTTCAAAATCGTTTCCAATGAAACTGCTAATTAAAATAATTTGCGTGCTCGTTCGACTAAAACCCAAAAGTGAACGACGTGAATAATTTAATTAACCGAAATGACATGCAAAATGCTTAGGACAATAGCCACAAACGACAGCTATTAGGGGGGGTTTTCAAATGGGGGTTCAAAAGGTCAGGTTAGGTCCCCCAACTGCAGTGCCATTGCTGACCCAATTAGGAAACTGTTTTGGCCATCGCGTTTAGTTTTCGGCCACTATCGAATTATGCATGCGATAGAGCTTTCCCAGGTCCCGGAAGTCACTCACTCCATCTGCTCTCTGCAAACTGAAAACCGCCAAATCCCCGGTTTATAGAGCATTTCAACGGAATTTAAGTCCTCGCAGGGCATTAATTAATGTGCTGGCCTACCTTTAACAAAATTATACTATATATATTTATTTGCCCATATTTATTTGGTTATTTACACAAACTTTATGTCAAGTATGAAAACAAAAGGCAAAAGTTTACCAAAAATTCAAGCCCAAAAATTATGCGAATTTCTACATAATAATAAAAGTTTCAGCCGCGCTCAATTTAAGCCGCATTTTGGGGTTTACCCTTTCGGCTGTTGGAAAGTTTAGCTGATTTACTGTTTTTTTTTTTAAATATTTGTGTTATTCTTGACTGTATTTTCAATTTATGTAGATGCTCTTGCTGTAAGCTGTGCTTGACTTTACTTTAAAATATATTTAAAAAATAAATAATATTATTGTAAGCCAAAATATATTTCATTCTTGAATTTATACAAGTCAGTGTATTTTGAAGCCAAATTGTATAGATTTAGATATTTGTAAAATATATCCTTTTTGATATATATCCCTTAACTATTCCTAGAATGTAAATATCTTAATTGCAGGTATTTTCACCCATAACCACTGTTTTTAATAAAGTCGCTCAGTCAGGCAAAAGTTCACTGCAATTTTCTCTCAATTGACTGTTCATTGTTGTCTCTGGTAAAAATGTTCTTGTTTTCTTTTAGCCTTTTGCTGTTTGGATGGATCATTTTATTTATATTGTTTTTATTTTGTTGCGTTTTTCGTGGTTTTTATAGAGCAAATATAGTTTTAACCATTTTTCGTGAAAACCCAAAATGAAATGGCAACAGCCAGCGGCCAGAGGTGTGCCACCCGCGTGAACTGACACTAAGAGAAATAAATGGTAAAATGACCTATTAAGATAAAATAAAATAAAGGAAAAATATAAAAGCATGAAGAAACCTTTTTAACAGTATATATTTAATATAAAAAATAGAGTTAATAAATATTTAAAGTATGTGTTTATTAATAAAAATTATCAAATAATTTCTAAATGTATTATAGGCTTGTAAAATAATTTACATTTAATTTAATTTAATACAAATTTTAACATATTAAATACAACGAATGTTTAAACAAGTATTTTCCATTAGTTTCTTAGATAAATGAAATATAAATGACATTTTCCAAACATTAACAGAATATTCTAAATAAAAATTGTTTAAAGTATGAATTAAAAATTACCTAGACTTTTTTTAAGTGTACACATCCCTATATA